CTTATTTTTTGGTTAATTTAGTAGTCACCCAAATTAGATGTCAAATCAGAATTATTTACTGCTTGTCTGGAATATGAAAGATGGTAATTGTATTGTCCACTTCACAGTGTACTCTCTGTGACTGCACCTTGGAGATGGTTCTTCTCTTTCCTATATTAATATTTAGAGATATTATTTCCTGTATGTTTTACAGAGATTGAAGAACACAGACAATATAATATAACAGAAAACTTGAAAAATCTACAGTTTCAGATGTGTACAGGGCAAAATTCAAGATTTGTTTGAATAAGTGATCTTACTTTGTTTCATTTAATGGTAAATGCACCTATTGATCTGAGTGGAATTAATTTTTCTTTAGTTATTTTTCATTATGCATTCCTGAGTGAGATAACTGGATTGAGTGTTTATTATCTCTGAAAACAGAAGTGCATATACCCTTAAGTAAATACATTTCTAACACAGTAGTAACAAAACTAAATGTAGCAGTTGCATAACTACAGAGTGAAGCAGATTTTTACAAACCTTTTATTCCCATATCCCCACATTCTCCACTAGGCCCAGGTGGGCCCATTTTTCCTTCTTCACCTTTTACACCAGAGATTCCCATTGGGCCTTGTGTTCCTGGGAGTCCTGGGAATCCTTGGGGTCCTTGAATCCCTTTGCTTCCTGGTAATAAAATGCTTTATTTACATATTCAGTCTGCTATGCTGTTGCTGTCATATTCTAAGGAAGAGTATAAAGCAAGAGGCAGGAAGTTTAGAAGGACTCCTTAGGAAATTAGCAAAGCAAGAGAACCAATAGTTGGAGCACGGTTTCAGGCCAAGATCAAACTTGTCTTGAAATCCAGATTGCCTTGAAGCAAACATCTTCCCCCTCCCTGCTGCCAGCCCCTGGAGATCTAGGCTACACTCAGTAGTAAAGAAGTTATCCCCAACTCATCTTAAATACAATGCATAGCCTGAGACACCACCAGGTTTTGCATGTAGCTACTGGAAATGGTGACTCCTACTGTCCAGATGGCAGACAGAGGAAAACGTGATTTTGCCCATTAGCCAGTGATGATTTGGGACCAAAGTCACATTTTTTATAAGTTATCAGTCATAATGTGAAGCTATTTCTCCACTTATTCATAGAATCATAGCATTGTTTAGGTTGGAAGAGACTTTTAAGGTCATCAAGAACAACCAGTAACCTAACTCTGTCAAGTCCACCACTGCACTATGTCCCTAAGTGCCATATCTACACGGTTTTTTTGAACACCTCCAGGGATGGTGACTCAACCCTGGGCAGCCTGTTCCAGTGCTTGACAACCCTTTCAGTGAAGAAATTTTTCCTAATGTCCAATATATCACCTCCCCTGGAGCAACTTTAGGCATTTTCCTCTCATCCTATCACTTGTTACTTGGGAAGAGAGACCAACACCCACCTTGCTACAAACTCCTTTCAGGTAGTTGCAGAGAGCAATAAGGTCTCCCCTCAGCCTCCTCTTCTCCAGACTAAACAACCCCAGTTCCCTCAGCTGCTCCTCACAAGACCTGTTCTCCAGACCCTTCATCAGCTTTGTTGCCCTTCTCCGGACACGATCCAGCCCCTCAATGTCTTTCTTGTAGTGAGGGGCCCAAAACTGCACACAGTATTCGAGGTGTGGCCTCATCAATGCAAAGTACAGGGACATGATCACCTCCCTACTCCTGCTGGCCATGCAATTTCTGATACAGGCCAGGATGCTGTTGGCCTTCTTGCCCACCTGGGCACATGGCCGGCTCATGTTCAGCCGGCTGTTGACCAGCACCCCCAGGGCCTTTTCTGCTGGGCAGCTTTCCAGCCACTCATCCCCAAGCCACTAGCCCTGCCTCTGGGGTTGTTGTGACCCAGGAGCAGGACCCGGCACTTGGCCTTGTTGAACCTCATAGCATTGGCCTCAGCCCATCGATCCAGCCTGTCCAGGTCCCTCTGCAGAGCCTTCCTACCCTTGAGCAGATTAACTCTTCCACCCAGATTAGTGTCATCTGCAAACTTACTGAGGGAGCACTTGATCCCCTCATCCAGATCGTTGATAAAGATATTAAAAAGAACGGGCCCCAATCCTGAGCCCTGGGGAACACCACTTGTGATTGGCCACCAATGCGATTTAACTCCATTCACCGCAACTCTTTGGGCCCAGCCATCCAGCCAGTTTTTTACCCAGTGAAGAGTATGCTCGTCCAAGTCATGAGCAGCCGCTTTCTCCAGGAGAATGTTGTGAGAAACAGTGTCAAAAGCTTTACTAAAGTCTAGGTAGAAAACATCCACAGCCTAAGTTCCCGACAAAGCTCTATGTTCAGCCAGGCCCATCTTCTTCCCCACCAGCTCGTCCTTTGGCACATGGGGCCAGCCTGCTCCTGTGCCTTTAAGATTTCCTTCTTGAAGAATGTCCAGCCTTCCTGGGTATCTTTGCCCTTCAGGACTGCCTCCCAAGGGAGTCTTGTCAACTGGTCCCCTAAACAGGCCAAAGTCTGCCCTCTGGAAGTCTAAGGTACTGCTGACTCCTCTACTTCAAGAATCAAATACTCATCAGCATAGAATCTCAGATTGCATCAGTAAAGAAGACAGTCAGGATGTAATAAAAAGTATGTTGTTTTTATTATAGCATATTATAACAACAACCTATTACAAATAGTCAGGAAATAATAACATGGAAATATGTTGGTGTTGTAAGAGAACTAAAGCACGAGGATGCACCAAGATGCATCAAATATTTCCATCCCTTTGTTTTTATGATAAGCGAATGAATAAAGGATGCTATTTTTATTCCCTCTACCCTGCTGCAGGGTCTTATTCTCAAAGCTGGAAAGGGAGGATCATGCAAAGTACTTCCTAGCTTTAACAGCACTAGAAATAGCTCCCTCTACAAGAGAAGTTACAGGTGAGGTGGTTTGCAGGATGTTTAACGTACCTGATTGTCCCGGGAAACCAGGTGGTCCTTTATTGCCTGGAAGTCCTGGAAGTCCTCGGGAGCCTGGAGGACCTGGGGGACCTTGTGAGCCAGAGGAGCCTTTCAGACCTTTGATTCCAGGTGGACCAGCTAGGCCCCTGTCTCCCCTCTGACCTTTAATGCCTGGTAAGCCTGAGAAAAAGAGCTTTAGTCTATGTATGTAATGCAGGAAAAGGGTTCAGCAATTTTATCTAAAAAGTAGAAAGGGATAGATTTTGGTATAAATTTGAATATTATCAGACATGCCAAAATAACTTGGAAACTGCTACCATGCTTGAGTCCTGGCTCTGCCTAGATTTTTCACCTAGATTGTTTGTTTTCTTGTATTTCTTTAGTGAGAGACGCATTAGTAGAAGCATCCAGTGAAAAATTCCTACTAATTCGTAAATACTTCTGATATCTATCTCCTAGCTTTCCCTAAATAACACTTACATTTAAGAATAAGGAAAATAAAAGTATCACAGTAATGACAAAAGCTCAATTAAGTTACTCAGGACAACAGAATGAGAGAACTCTTCTGTTTATTACTTGACAGTGAACACACTGATTTGGCCAGTTAAGGAACAGTACGGGAAGGGAAGTTGCGAAACATCTGAGATGCACACTATACATTCCTTGAGTTTAAGGAAATGTGCAAAACATAATGTACACTCCCACTAAGGAGCAGCCCCCATGGAAATATTTGTTATGCCAGCCACAAAAATCATGGGATTAAATCTGCTAGAAAAGATGCAAAAAGCTTAGAGCTGTGAGGCAACCTCATGGATGTTGTGTACCTTGAGGTCCTGGCAGGCCCATGACACCTCTGAGTCCTGGTGGCCCTGGTAAGCCCCTGTCACATGGTGGACCAGGGAAGCCTGGACAGCCTGGTGCACCTATGTCACCTTCTGGGCCTCTAAAACCTTTGGCACCTGGAAATCCTGGGGTACCAGGCTGTCCTGTAAACAAAAAACATTGTAAAAAGTTTTACTTCCATCCCTCAGAATTCTTAATTGGAATCTTGAAATTTACATGTTCAGTTTTTGCAATATCTTACTTATCCTCTAGTTTTTGCAATATCTTACTTATCCTCTAGTTTTTGCATAGTTTGTGAAAACTGATGCTTTTCTGCAATTTAGAACTGGCTGTTGTGGAAAGCTTCTTTCTTTAAGGCACAAATACAAATTCACCTCTCACCTATAGGTAAGGATGACTTTGTGGCACAAAAAGGTAGTTTCTGATGTCTGGCAGCAGAACGGAAGGAGCTCACTGGCCTGCACCAGCTACACAGCACTACGGTCAGTTCTATAGGTGTTCCCTGCACAGAAGAGGGTGTGTGTCTGCTTAGGGTCAGGCAAAAGGAAGACCTATAAAAGGAGATGGCAACATCTGCTATGAAGTGGGAAGGAAGTGGCCCTGGAGACCCCTGCAGCAACCAGCAAAACTCCCCTGCAGAAATGAGGAGTGTAGCGCTCAAGATACTGAGGATTATATTGTATAACTCTGGGCAAAGAAATTCACCCCTCTGTCCCTGAATGTTCTCCCGCCTTTTGCCAGTCTTTTCAGATTTGAGTAAGCAATCTGAGGCAGGGAGTAGTGGTGTGGCACAGAAGGAGGCCCCAAGCACAAATGGCCACTAGGCAGCGAATAACAGTAGTAAGAATAGAAACCTGCACTGTTACTCCATGGACTGGGTAAAGGCATCTTCCCCTTCCTGCACTGCAGATCTCCTCAGTGACTGATCAACCTTAACTGTAAAAATGTAAACGTAAAAATAGAGTGTGCTGTGCATAGTCACCATTATTGATCCAGGTAAAAGTAAGTTTTATTTGAATCAGGACCAACTTTGCTCAGATTTTCTCCTTTGAACATGTGGAAATGCTTCAAAAAAACTGGCTCATACCTTGAAG